TCAACAAAGTGGATCTTATTGAGCCAGCTGTCGGTGTGAGCAACTGGAGCTTACCCCACTGGGGAAACTTCAGGAGCCTGTGTAGAACACTCACCCAAGGGAGGAGGGGGCTGGGGCACATACATGGCAACTCTCATCAGTCATTGGGTGTGCTCATTCCCCAGACCTTTGGGCCCTCTGTGTGAGTGGCACAGTGGGCTCCGGTGGGAAGAGAAAGCTCTTGGACAAAATGCAGGTGCTGGCAGCTGGAAGTCAGACAGGTGTGCAGTGAAATGGTAACTGCAAGGGCAGCGGGCCCCTCCCTCAGCTCGGCAGCTCTGGGGTGGTCCCGAGAATTTTCATCTCTAACAGTCCCCAGGAGGGGCTGCTGCTGCTGGTCTGGAAGCACAACTTGGGAACCACTGGGCTCAGGATGTGGGCAGGGCACCAACACGGTACAGACTGGATACCTGGGGAAAATCCAATACTTAGGGTTGGGCAGAGGTGGAAGATAAAGGAAACCTAAAATATGCTGCTTTGACATGAAAATTATTTTGAGCTGAAGGCAATTGAGAACCAGCAGATACAAGAAAAGTTCCTGCCCTCCCCTGATTTGCCTAAAAGCAGGACATAAATTTTTAAAGTTATCCTTCCTCCCCTCTCTATCTGGAAGTACAAAAGTGAATCACTGGAGACAACTTTAGACCCTATCAGCCTGGAGACAGCGCCAGAGGAATCCATATCCAAACGCAACTAACTAGCCTGTATCTACCGTTAGTTTCCCATATATTTACCTTCCCACAATCTGCCACCCTTAGAAATCTAAACCTGCTTTCCTTTGTCTTGTCATTTCTCTACAAATTTATTGTTCTTGGTTAAAGATGCCATATAAGCTGGAGTTCTAAGCCACCTCTTTGAGTTACTCATTTCTCTGAATTTCTCTCATGTATGTATGGGATATACGTGTTAATGAACTTCTGTTTTCTCTTGTTAATCTCTTGTTTTCTCTTTTGTTACACAAGCCCCAGTCAAGAACCTAGAAGGGTAGAAAAGATTATTTTTCCTCCTCAACAGAAACAAAGCCAAAGAGGTGAGCTACACTTTTATTTGGCCTTCTGCAGGAAAACTCTTCCCACCTTGCCCAGAGCCTGTGCCTGGGAGTCACGTGCCTGTGGAGATGGGGACCATGCAGCAGACTTCCTGGGAACCCTCTGTACCTGCTGTGGCCAAGGTTAAGGCCACTCAAAGCATTGCATCCTTAGAATGCTGCCTCCCTAGAAGTTCACCGGGGTCTTTTTCTCTGAGGGTGGCCTGGCAAGCATAGGTCCCAGGGGCAAAGAGCACAAACAAACAAACATTTCAGAAGGAATCCAGCTTTTGGCTACAGAGTCAAATCGAGCTGAGGAAGCCGCTCCTCCTAATCAGACACAGAGCTCACCAGCACGAGCCCTGCTCCTACCACCAGGGCAGCCGAAAGCAGCACTGCGTCCCTTCCTGCTGGGCCTCAGAATCATTACATAGTGACCTTGAGATCCTCCCACTTTGTTCTGGAAAAAGCAAATCTTCCAGAAGACACCCCCCAAAATAACTGGTATAGCCTTACACTCATTTAACAGCTATGATAACCAGAAAAATAACAGGCCTCCTATTCTTTGCTGCTTGTTTACAATAAAAGCATATGCTTGCAGGAACATAGAATCCTAAACAAAAATTGGTGCTTATTTCACCATACTAATTTTCCAGTTGAAACCGACACTGTTGGTTTCACAACACAAAAACACTCAGGACGTCTTAAGAGATGAGAGGGGAAAGGCAGAGAGACAGAGATAACAAATTTACCCTTCACGGGAGCAGGGGCATCCTCGTTTATCTTTTACAGTGATCACCCCTAGTGAAGAGTATGACAAAGCCACATCCCCACGCTTCCATTTTGAGACTGAGGTCACCGTCACAAAAGCCAAGGTGTCAGGCCTCAGCCCACCGCAGGTATCCAGACCCTCCCCATTCAGGAGGCAGGTCACTACGGATTGCTGAGGTCAACACCCCTTAGGAGGCGCTGTAATTAGCTGCAGTCCAGAGCTTCACGGTGAGGGAAAGAAAAGCTTCTCCCCCTCGCAAATCGGAACATTTTTCCAGCTTTCCCAATGGGTTGCCAAGTGACTCAGCATTGGCCCAGTGTGGGCACTATTATTGATGAGAAATCTTCCGCCTGGGTGATATACTGCATACAACACATGCCCAAAGAACAGTGCCAAGTCATACCAGGAAGAGCAGGCGAATTATTCACCTCCACTTCTAATGCAGGCAAATCTTGTCTTAATGCAGGGGCTCCTCAGTATCAGAAAGACAAAGCCCTAAGATTGTCAGAGATTTCCATCTAAGATTCAAGGAATTATTAGGCAGAGCCTCTACTTTCTTGTTGACTATTAAAAGGCAATCAAATTGAGGACAGCAGAGAAAAAGGGCAAGAAAAAAATAATTTTTCAAAAACAACCCCAGAGCAGAAAGCTGCATAAAAGCCTTCAGTATGCTAAATGTTGTCTTTGTGAGTACTACGAGCTCCACCCAGAGGTCATTTCCAGAACTGCACGTTCATTTAATTTGGAAAAAGAAAAGCTGCATCTTCCGGGGTCCAAGGCCTTGGAGAACTGCTGGAAATTCTTGGACAACATTCCTTCTTTCTTGCCTTTTATTAAAGGAACTTCTCTGAACTCTGAAATACAGGATATACTCAGGGAACCTGATGAGATCCAGGAGGACAATTGCCTTTGATATTTGCACCTGTCAAGGAACTAGTTGAGTTCCTTGCAAGTCGAACTCAGCTCAAAGAAAGCAGTGTTCAAAGAGTACTTTTAGAAGAAAAAGTGACTGCTCTCATTCAAATAAAATATGACTGGAGAGCAACCCAGGGGGCAAACAGGAACGTGCCTAATATTAGAAAGACTAAGAATAATCCTCCTTCAAGAAGGACCCATGGGCCACTTGCCTAGAAGGCCCAACTGTAAGGCACCCACTCTCATATGCAACTCAGAAGATCTCCCTGAGGCAATCACCAGCCATACTTCCAAAAGAACTGGCTGCAGTCTCCAGAACATTGCCCTGGCATCCGTTCATTCATAACACGCACATACCCCTTACCACTCCACTCCACCCTCCACACCGTGGCCCTCAGTCCACAGGAGGTCAGACTAGGATCAAGAGCCCCCAATGCACTGAGGTCTCAACTGCCTAGCGCAAGACACATTCTGTTCCAGATCTCACAAGCTAGCTCAGCAAATAAGTGAAGCCTTCAAAAAACAACAGTGTGTTGGTTCCGAAAGTTTCATCTACCATCTGGAGAGCTTCTCCTCACAGCCAGTGTGCTCCTGCTTTCCTCAGCTTGCGCCTTACATGGCTTAAGACATTCTTGAAGGGAAAAAAAATCGAACTTAGCCTTTGTCTTCCTCCAACACCCTCCACCCTCTGGCCACCCAAGTTCTTTTTTCACTATATACAATGAACAGCCTTTTCATGTCTATTGACAAAAATATCTATGGCAATGTTTATCCATTTCAGGAGTATTAAAGCTCTAGAAAATATTCATGCTAAACCTCTGTACATACTCATTTCAACAAGGCTAAGCATTCCCCAAATGTTGCCCTCTTTTTTTTTAATAGACTTTATTATTTAAAGCAGTTTTAGGTTCACAGCAAAACTGAGCAGAAAGAACAGAGACTTCCCATATGCCCCTTGCCCCCACACATGCACAGCCTCCCCCATTATCAACATCCCCCACCAGAGTGGGACATTTGCTACAACTAGTGAACCTACACTGGCACATCATAGTCACCCAGAGTCGATAGTTTACATTAGGGTTGACTCTTGGTGCTGTACATTCCATGGGTTTGGACAAATGTATAATGACATGTATCTACCATTATAGTATCATAGAGAGTAGTTTCACTGCCCTGAAAATCCTCTCTCTCTTTGTTTCTTGACCATAAGACAAAAATATTTCTGCTCAGCATGACTCAGTATGACTCAAAGCAGTGTTCCTGGGGCCTGCCTGGCAATAAGAATCACCAGGGAGACTGGTTAAATTCACAGATGTTCAGACTGCACCCTCAATCCACAAAATCGGAATTTGTTAGGGCGGGGTCCAGAAAGCTAGAGAGCGTCCAGGCACCCCAGGTGATTGCTATCATCAGGAAAGTTGCAAAAATACCTCTCTAAAGACGAAATGCTCCTGATTTCAGAGTCTCCCAGCTGCCGAGAAGCATCCGTCAAGAATGTAGCTTGTGTTCCCTACTCACTTGAGCTCCACCTCCATCAGAATACCTAGAAATCAAGATGGGTCCCACTCTTTATTTTCCAACAGCATGGCTGCTAATACTTCTTTCACTTATTCCCTTATCTTGTCACATAATGCCGGAAAATTTTACAAGGCCTAGCAAGTGTCCACTTCTATTAGGAAATATCTTTGTATTCCTACACAATGGTTTACCACAGGTCTGCAGTTTGTAAGCAGGCTATTTGGATCATTTGTGCAAAATGATGGGTTGGGAAGTAGATCTGCTTGGTTACAGGAAAAGAATTGTCCGAGGACATTTGCACATATCGTGCATGGAGCAGAAGGACACACAGCCAATATGGGTTCTTCTTCTTTGCACCTTGAGGGCTCTTCTGCCAGCTGCTCCCCATAGCTCCCCACTGCTCTGCATTCTGCCATAGCCAATGATAGTTGATGGCAAAATTCGCTGGGCAGCAAGCCATGTGGCTCTTACAGACGGCAATTAGGAGAGAAGGAAAGGCTGAATTACAAGGTGTTTGAAAATGAAGTTCGAAAAAGAAAAAGTCAGATGTTATTTTCTCTTACCTCCTGGTGATGAAATCTATGTATTCATTCCTAAACAGACACCTGACTCCAGGGTCATTCAGAGTCAACAGCTCAGTCAATATAAAAATCAACTACACAGTCAATGTTGAGCATGAAAATCTGTTAAACCACAAGTCGTATTTTTTTCATCAAAAGGAATCCTTACCTTTTCTTTGGCTTTCATTTTTGTTCCTGCATCCATCCACTCATTTTCTTTCTCCAGCATGTCAATAAAGGCCCAACGAACACCCTCAATCAATTCCTCCATCTACAAGGAAATACCCCAAGAGGCAGGTCAAAACCAAGGAGCTTCAGACAAGGTTTTCTGGGCCATAAGAAACAGTTCATTGCTAAACATGGTGAGAAAGAGGTTCCTTTCAGCTTCACTCCATGCTCTGGAAACATTTCTTTGCCCAGGAAAATGCCTTTTTCCCATACCATTAGAAGATAACTAACCATTTCTTTCCATGAGAACAATTTGATGGCCCAGTTATCAAAGGATTATATGGGGAAAGGAATTCGCCGTAGGTTATGACTAACCAATAACTTGCATGTAGTTACTGAATTAGCCCATCCCTATCAAGGTAGCAACTAATTTCAATAATTTAATAAGGGTTTGAGAGAGACAAGCAAAGGCGTGGGCTGTGTATTTCAGTCAGGTATTGCAGAATAAAGTGAGTGAACAGTTGAAAGAGATACTGTGAACAGAGAAACAGGCAGAGAGAGCCAGCACCCCAAAGAACATTACCCCAACATAAATCAGACTATGTCAGGACTCAAGTCCTTCCCAAATTTAGTGCCAGTGGTTAAACCAAATGCTTGCTGTTCTCTATCATCTTCCTGCTCTCCTCTCCACTCACTCAGAGCTCAGAAAAGACTTATGTTATTTCAAATCTAAAATGGTAGGTCTAAAGGGGGCTGCTACAGAAAGGCTGTCTTCTGAAAGACCTATTCCAACGTGTTTCAACAGTGAGACCACACCCACATTGATGGTGTGTTTGCCCTGGCTTTTCTTCCAGTGTTTGTGGTCAGCAGAGAGGACTGGGGGAAGAGAGATGCTGACACAATTTCAGAAGCCCACATAGAGCAGTCTGGGGAGGGCCTGCCTGTTTATGGGTGCAAACCCCTTGAAATTCCATCCTCCTGCAGAGATGTTTCCATTTTCCTAATGGGACACTCAAGAAAGAATAAATACTAGCTTTGGCACCAGAATTAAAGTTTTCATTTGAGATTATGGGGTTGTAATTCCATTTTTAGCACTAATTCTACAAAGAAAGAAGTTTAGATGTTTCCTTGGTTCTATAATGAATTGTCGGCATGAAGCCCAAAATAATTTTTTTCTGTTTAATAAGTTTTCAGCTATGTTTTCAGTTCAATAACAGTTGCAAGGGAACCAGAGCTGTAAATCAGTGGGCTGGGTTCCATCGTATGTAAATAAGAACAAACAGCAGATTTGGGGGGGTGGACTTTACAGCTATTTCTTCCCAACTTAGCAAAAACATTAAAAGAAAAGAACTCTCAATTTGGGATCGGGGCATGATAAAAACATGAAATGACAGAAGAGCAAAGTTCATTCAAAATCATTAAGTCAGTGGTTCTCAACCTTGTCTGCACGTTGGGAATCTTTGGGGGAAGCTTTAAAGAATCCTAAGGCCTGAGCATCAGAATGCTGATGTCATTGTTCCAGGGTGCAGCCTGGGCATTGGGAGTTTTAAAAGCCCCCCAGGTGATTCTAATGTGCAGCCAGGGTAGAGACCCACTGGTCTAGGGGAAGCTACTTATTTTACAGATAAGGAAATTAAGAGTCAAGCGAGTCCATGATCTGTTCCAGCTCTCACAGCTAGGAAGGGTCAGAGCCGGGACCTGACCACAGAGCTAAATGACAGTCATGAGCTCAGAACTTCTAGGAGCAACAGAGGTGTCCCTCATAAATCAGAGGAAAGTGCCAGGAAAGTAGAATGGAGCCAACAGAGAGATGCAGAAGTGGCCATTTCAAATAGAAAACCCACACAAGGAGGGTGTTGAAATGACAAGGAAATCTCCAGGAACTAGACCTTTAGCCTGTGCAGTCACCAGTACCCCTAAGTCTTTACGATCTCATCACGCAGCAACACACATCAACCAACTCATCACCTTCATATAAAAAGAGAAATAAGGGGCCAGCCTAGTTCTTAAGTTCGGTACGCTCCACTTCAGTGGGCCGGGTTCGGTTCCTGGGTGCAGACCTACTCACCGGCAGCCATGCTGTGACAGTGACCCACATACAAAATAGGATGAAGACTGGCACAGATGTTAGCTCAGGGCAAATCTTCCTCAGCCAAAAAAAGAGAGACAGAGAGAGAAATAATATCTTCCAAAATGAAGGAGGGGCAATAGGGATGGAAAGAAGTGGGTGGATTGATTTGCGAGAGATTCAGTGACAAAATCAATGGAACCAGGTGATTAATTTTATGTGGGGAGGGGAGGAAAGGGCAGGGAGAGTCAGATTAATTCCAAGGCTTTAGGCGCAGGCAACTAGGTGGATGCTGCCACCATTTTCTAAGACTCTGACTGTTGGAAGAGAAAAAGGGCTTGAGATAGAGGCCAGATCTCAGTGGGAAGTGGAGACAGCAAGTCTGGACAACCCAGGCAAGGAGTTTGTCTAAGAAAGAGAGAAAAGAAGTATAGGGTACAAGTGGATGTAGGGGTCAGAGGATTTGGAGTTTGGGATGTATGCATTTGCTTGTTGCTTCTGGTATTGCTGCTGTGGTGGTGGTGGTTGACTATGTGAGAGATTCAACTGTGTTTAAATATCAATGGAAACTCATCAATAAGGAAACAAACAACCTGATTAAAAAATGGCCCAAAGGGGGCCAGCCCCATGGCATAGCGGTTAAGTGCGTGCGCTCCCCTGCTGGTGGCACGGGTTTGGATCCCGGGTGCGCACTGACGCACCACTTGTCAGGCAATGCTGTGGTGGCATCCCACGTAAAGTGGAGGAAGATAGGCATGGATGTTAGCTCAAGGCCAGTCTTCCTCAGCGAAAAAAAAAAAGAGGATTGGCATGGATGTTAGCTCAGGGCTGATCTTCCTCACAAAAAAAAAAAAAATTGGGGCCAAAGACTTGAACAGACATCTCACCAAAGAAGATATACAGATGGCAAGTAAATATATGATAAGATGCTTCACATCATTTGTCATCAAGGAAATGCAAACTAAAACAACTAGATACCACTATATACCTATTAAAATGGCCAAAATCCACAACACTGACAACATCAAGTGCTGACAAGGATGTGGAACAACAGGAATTCTCATTCATTGCTGGTGGGAATGCAAAATGGTACAGCCATTTTGGAAGACAGTAGCAGTTTTTTACAAAACTAAACATACTCTTACCATACGATCCAGCAATCAAGCTCCTTAGTATTTACCCAAAAGAGTTGGAAACTTATATCCACACAAAAATCTGCACATGGATGTTTATAGCAACTTTATTCATAATTGCCAAATCTTGGAAGCATCCAAGATGTCCCTCAGTAGGTGACTGGATAAACAAACTGTGGTACATCCAGACAATGGAATATTATTCAGTGCTAAAACAAAATAAGCTATAAAAGCCATGAGAAGACATGGAGGAACCTTAAGTGCACATGCAGGGGAGGAAGACAATTCCTCTACCCTTCTAGGTTCTTCTGACTGGTCCAAGAATTAAATTGACATGAGAAAGAATAACATGAGAAAATCAAACAACGTTTAATAACATGTATATATGGGAGAGACCCAGGAAAACTGAGCAACTCGCCCGAATGGCCAAAGCTGCCGCCTTAAATATCATCTTCAGCTAAAGACAAAGGAGGATGTTGGGAGTAGTAATTTGGGACTTCAAAGGAGAGGAAGGCAATTTACATGGAGATAGAAATGCAAATGTTTGTTAAACAAGTGTTTGCTGGGCCAACCCAAGAGACACATTTTACATTACACTACAGGTATCTTATGGTATTAGCTCCTTCCTGGAATGGGCCTTCTATCTTAAATTCTTTTAGACAGTTAGGGGGAAGGTCAACGTTTCTTTCAGAGTCTTTTGTGCTTAAAACTAATCATGGCAAAGAGACACACTGTGGGGTAGCCAATTATGATCTCCCACACATATTACTAAGTGAAAGAAACCAATCTGAAAAGGCTACATACTGTATGATTATATAGCTACAACTATATAACATTCTGGAAAAGGCAAAACTATAGAGACAATAAAAAGATCAGTGGTTGCCCGAGTTGGGGGCAGGGAGAGATAAATAGGCAGAGCACAGAGGACTTTTAGGGCAGTGAAAATATGCTGTATGATATTATAAGGATGGATATATGTCATTATACTTTTGTCCAAACCCATAGAATGTACACCACCAAGAGTGAACCCTAAGGTAAACTATGTACTTTGGGTGATTACAATGTGTCAATATAGGTTCATCTTTAGGGAAAAAAAAAAAGTATAATTCTGGTGAGTGATGTTAATGGGGGAGACCATGTATGTGTGAGGGCAGGGGTTTATAAGAAATCTCTGTACCTTCCTCTCAATTTAGTTGTTGAAGGGGAGTATAACAAGCCACCCCAAAATATGCCTCTTCGGCATAAGGATTACCTTAAGCTGATTATTTTTAAGAAAAAGCCGAGAGGAAAAGCTCTGAAAATCAATGTTACCCTCTTGTAAGAGACTTTTATATTTATAAGGGAACTCTCCATTTCTAAGGGTACCACTCTCTGTACCAGGAAGAGGAGGAGGGCTAAATCTTAAGAAACTCATCAATGGAGAAGGCAAGGACTTAAATCTGCACAAGAACCCTACCTTTGTTTACTGTGCTTTTCCTGAAGACCTCCCACAACTGGCCCCCCCCACCACCCAACATCTCCTTTTGTCTTTAGCTGGAGATGGTATTTAAGGTGGTGGCTTGGGCCATTTCAGAGAGTTACTCAGTTTTCTGGATATCTCCCATGTATACAGGAGGTACACATGTTATTAAACTTCTGTTTTTCTCCTATTAATCTGTTGTTTATTACAGAGAGGACTCAGCCAAGAACCTAGAAGTGTGGGGAAATTATGTTTCTTCCCCTACATTATAAATCTAAAACAGCTCTAAAAAAATTAAATCTTTTTAAAAAAGGCAAAAAAAAAAAAAAACAATGGAAAGGATCCAGTGAAGAGGAAGAGGTTGAAAATACAGGAGAGAAAAAAGACAAGAATGGTTCCTGAGAGAGCAAAGGGGGACAGGATCCAGAGAATATATGAAAGGA